TCCAACCTCGAGTTATACCACTTTTTATAAATGAACTCCCCTTTTCTTCCCTTACATTGCCTGGGTCTTTATATGTAAAGTTTCCCTTTTTATAATTGTTGTAAATTCTATACATTTCCTATAAGGATTTTATTTAGTTGTTTAAGAGTATACTCTTATCATATGTACCCTGTTTAAAATTCATGTTTTTACTCTTATTTATCTTATTTAGTTTTAGAGCATTTTAAATTTATTGCTTTTTTCTCATTGATTATATTTACACTCTTCCCTTACACTTTTATGAGATGCTACTAACGTGGCATCCTTTGAGCATCTTTATGTGATATATTATTTTTGGTACTTTTATGAGGCTCTAACTACATCATAGTCACTGCACCTTTGGAATTTTTCTTCCAAATTGCCGTCCCTAGAGCATGCTGCTAGATGGCTTTTCTTTTTGTACATCGTAATATTATCGATAGTCCCGATGTAAGATTTTAGAAATATTTAGAAATTTCTTTTTAGTCCATATTATCTATATCTACCTAACTTTATACACTTATTGTATTGGATCTAACACTAGAATTTTTTTAATATAATTCCTTTTACATTTTTTGTGTTATGTATTAATTATGGTCCTTTTAGAAGGTTCTGAAAACCTCATAGTCATTGCATATTTAAGATTCTTCTTTCCATTCGTCTGGTCTGTCTTATATTTCTCATTCACGTCCCCTGAGTATGCTGCTAAGCGGCACCTTTTCTGTATCATCGCAATATGATTACTAATAGTCCTCTTGCATAATTTCTGAAACTTTCTTTCAATTTGTATCATTTACATCTATGCATTATTATATATTTTTACTAAATTGGATTGACATATAATTAATTACTAGAATTACCATCCAACACAAACTGCTTAATCCTAGGCGGTTTAGAAGACAAAATTATTTCCAGCATTTTGTATCGTTTTGTGTCGTTTTGTATTTAAAGTGTTCAAATTTACTTCCATTATCTTAACACATGGAACTGATATTTTTCCCTCTGTCTGTTCTATATTTCATGCATTGGTACTATTATGTATTATGTGATTAACTTATTATGAGTTAATCACAAAGAAATTAACTTTTAACTCTGTAATAACAGACATTAAAGGATTTGAACATAAGCAAGATATTCCAGTTCAGAGCGAGCTTGTATGAATTCTTCAGCTGCAAAGGAGGACTCAGTCATCTAAATTTTAACAACTAATTATGTATATACGGTTACAGTTAACGGGACTCTATTTGAGGACACCCGTTAACTACATGAAAACGTGACATCACATTGAGGCATGAGCCGCATACGTCTTACGTGTGGGTGGTAATGATGTAACGGCTTACATGCACCGGCATTTCATTTTCCAATTTGGGAGGTATATAAACCGTTCAAGGTGAACCAGGAAGCACTTGACTTTTGATCCGGTTGAAGAAGCCACATTGCAGTGGCGAAACGCGTCCCGGTTATATTTGGACCCCTCTGGACTTCAGTTTTTTGGGATACAAGCGATGGAAGCCCACTGGAGAGGGGGGACCTACAATCGTCCCTGAGCCGTTGCGAAATGAAGTGGATATTTAACTTGGACACTTTGTCCCCTGGGAGCCTTAATGTTGATTTTGAAATATCAGCATTAATTTAATTCTAATTTTAATTAGTTACATGGCTTTTAGATATAAAAATATTTTTTTTAAATGTTTTATATAAAACAAAATTAATATTTTATACTTTCATTTTAGAATTTTTTAAATATTGTTCACAACATTTTTTAATATCTAATTTTTATATATTTTTAGATGTTTTTTGATTATTTTAGTTAATTAAATGAAATTAATTTATATTATGTTATTTTTTGCAGGATCCCTTCTCTCTATTTTTCCCTCTTAATATAAAGATTTATGAATTATACTGTGTGTTATATCTCTATAAGATGAAATGTTCCTCAATACAAATGAAATTTATTAAGCTACCCTCCTCATATTATAAAGATGGTGCAATTGCAATTGGGCTCTTATTTATTTTATTTTATTTATATATATGTATATGTGTAAAAACATTGTAAGAAAAAGATCCATTGTAAGATATAAATTGATCTTTCTAGCTGTTTTTGTATGTAGAGGTTTCTTTCCCACTTCAAATATGGCGCTAGATGCCAGGACTATTAACACGTGTAAAGGGAATGAAAGGAAGTGACGTATGACGCATGAGCACGTGATCGGACGGAAGGTCACGTGATCGTACGGAAGGTCACGTGACGCGGAAACACGGCGAGACCGGAAGTAAGGACGGACGCCGGCAAAACGGCGCCAGATTTGAAGAGGAGAATATCATTTAAAAGGAAGAAGATCAACACTCATCACACACTTTGATAAAGACCTGGAGGTCGAAACGCGTTAGTGCTGTGTATTTTGTTATGTTATTTTAGCTTTTTCTGTATCCTTTATTTTTACCAGTAAAGTCATTTTTGATTATTGATACTGGATGTCCTGGAAGTTATTAAAGGGCGGAGAAAAGGAGCAGAGCTACTTGGAAAGCTGAAAATTGAAAGCCAGAATAAGCTTATTATTCACCTGCCACCTAAGCTAGAGCCAGCTTTATGTGGCTCTACACACTGTGAGTGACCCAATACCTGTGACCAATTGATGTCTTGTATATAACAGTGTTACACTATATATGTGTTTTTCTATTATAGGTCTAACAGGAGGTGTCCTACTTATATTAAGTATAATATACTTTCTTATTGCTCTATGTGCACCCCCCTTGTATTCTTTTTTCTATCACTTTATATTTGGACATTGTGCCATATTTTATTTTATCTTATATTTATCTTGTTAATACATTTTATTTTGGATATTCTTCATCCTGGTTCCCGACTTCATATTTCCATATATGGGAGTGTAGTCCCTAACTACACTACACCTGAACATAGAGTCATTTGAGACTCCTGGTTTGTAAGTACCCACTTGGGATATTTTATTTTCATTCTTATACCACAAACTGTGGTACGTTATCTTCTGCTCATCTATTTCCCTCAAGGATAAGAATAAACGTCTTGGGTAGGGGTGGGTCGCCTATACGGACCCAGAAGCGATTTACACCAGAGCTGGGTCTACAGCTCTCTGTGTGTGAGTGTATATATACCATTTACATACTGATTTTATTTTCTGTACCATCTACACTATATTACACTATCTTTTATAGATACTGATGCAATTGTGGACATTTTCCCCATATTTCATCCAAAGATATCAACGTAATTGTGGACATTTCCTTCTATTATAATCCAAATGTGATTAGTTATCTATTATACAAGCGCTACATTTTTTTCTTTTTATCTGCGATTTCAGTCATTATTAAAATTACACTAGTAAGATCCACTTATGAAGTTGTTTTGCAGAATGAATTATTACATAATGTTAAGAGTGGGTCATTGCAGTTATTATAACATTGAAGAAGAGGTTGTCAAGCCAATGTCATGTACATAAATTGTTTTTTTGCGAAAAAACAACAACAAAAAAATGGGATTTAGGGCCAAGTGCAGCAATAGGCAACCTTTGGCATGCCAGATGCTTTGCTAGCATCATTGGTGTAATAGCATTATGGGGGATGTAGTCCACAACATATAGAGTGCCGAAGGTTGCCTATCCCTGGCCTAGTATATGGGAGATTAGTGGAAGTGATTTACAGACAAAGGCAGTTGAAAGATATTTTTGAGGCTTTTTATTTGTCCAATTCAAATACTCAGTATAGCACATTCATCGTTTTGCTTATTTATTTTTTTACTATCCCATAACTTTTGATGGATGTAATATGTTGTGGACAGTGAGGGTATGTAAATGATGTAAATGTGTATTTGTATTTCCCAAAATGTTTTTATAATGTTTTCTTCTTGCTAATACATTTGAACATTCTTATTTAGAAATAACAATTAGATTAAAAAAACTATTCAAAAATAAAAGAAATATAGTATGATATTGTTATGATGATATTCTTGAAATACATAATTGATCAGAAAATAGTCTATCCTCACCTAAGCATATTTAACACCATGCATATATAACAGAAACAATGGTGGCATGCAGCCAATGTTCTAGGGATGGTGTAGAGTTTTAAATGAAATCAGGGCACTGATTTAACAAGTCTGTTGTGACCACAGCATGACAAACACGTTATAAAGCAGCAGATGCAGCACAAATTAATATGTAATTAGCAGCACAGCTCATCAAATGTGCGAAAAGGCTTTTTGTGAATCACTGTTGTAAGGTTAGCATTACACACTTTAGAATGTTGAGACAGTAAACCCACCAGCAGTTAGAGGTTCGAATGGCGCATATATCTTCTAATCTGCTTGTTTATTATATTTTATGTTTTTATGCTGACATTTTGATTTATATGTTTTGTTATCTCAAGGGCAGCTATAGGTCTTAATAAAATGTGAGTCCATTCATCAGAAAGCAACTTAATTAAATTTGCAGTCATTAAGGTGTGCTTCTATAGAGCATGAATATAGTACTCTACCTCCCTTGGATGTTCTCTTAAGCAGAGATGCTGTGGATACAAGAGATGTGTTGCTTTGCTGAGAGTGACTGGACTTAAAGTTCACAGCATATTGAGTGGATGCGTACCCCTGACATGGAAAAAATATTTAAAACCCAAGAACTTAGATATGAGAGAGTACCCTTAACGACAATCAAGGGATTCTATCCTTTCTGTATCTAAGTTGGCAATGCATGTAGTCTCTAACACGACGAGTAATAATCCTACCCATGACACTGAGAAATGTACTTAAATAAATAGCAATGTAACAACCAAACTCCATAAATGAAACACATTTTAAGCTCATTCTAGAATATAATTAAGGGCTACTCTTGTTTTAGGAATATGCTGGAGTGTTTTACTAACTACTGTTTAGATTATTTCCCTCTGTCTGCGTATCCAATAAAGTTACACTCTACTGCAAAAAAATAAACATAAAATCAAATCACTAGACTAGCAGCCGAACTAAATGGCTGCAAGCTAACTCAGCTCCGAGCATGCCGGGCTGAAATCGATAAAAACGGAGGAGGAAAGCAACAATGTGGAATCATAAAAAAAAACCAAAATGCTCACCTGAACCAGGGGAAGACACCTCCGGGCAAACCAGGATCGGTAACCCGCCTGTTTAGAGAATACACAGACTGCATGGCAGGGGCAGAGGAATCCAACATGGCGCCGACGGCGGCACATCCAGACTCAGAACTGCAGAGCCCCACAACCTCAGACATCTCATCCAACGCAAATGACCTAGACCTCAAGGAAATACTGAGGAAACTTCCCTCCAGGACAGATCTGGCACAGATGCTGGGAAAACTTGAAACCACGTTCCAGCACAAAATGGAAGGATTGAGAACTGAGATCAGGCAAGTGGGTAGAAGGGTACAGGATTTAGAGGATGAAAGAGGATCATGCCAGGCCCAAATACGTGACCTATCAACTAAACTTTACACTCAAGAGAGACACCTAACCATGCTACAGAGGTCCCTAGATGATAGACAAAAGGGGATGGAGAAACAATCTGTGCATTAGGGGGATTACCAGAGGCGGACAACGAAAACCTAACTGAACAACTAACCATCCTCTTCAACCTTATATTAGGCCACGCACAGACACACCAGTGATACTAGACAGGGCTCACAGGTCCCAAAGACCAAAAACTGGAGCAGGCAAAACGCCATGAGATGTGATTTGCCGCATCCACTACTTATCATTAAAAGAAGATATACTACGCAAACTAAGGGACACCTCCTCCCTACTACTATTTCTGGGACACGAAATTCAGATTTTCCAGGACCTCTCCTGGCTTACCCTCCAGGCGAGAAGAGCACTACGCCCCATCACGGATCAATTAAGGGCACGGAACATAAGATACAGATGGGGCGTTCCCTTTGCCCTAATTGTTAACATTAAAGGCACTACTCACTCACTCTCTACATACCAAGATGTTGCTCCCTTCACTAAAGCTTTTGACCTGAAGGAATCTAATATAATGGACTGGTACGCTCCAGACCCCTTGGCTTCCTCAGCTGCTCAACCGTACAGACCAAGATGGCGCACACCATCGAAGAAGCAGAAGATTGGACAGACCAACCCCTCTCCAAGAGAAGAGAGACGAAGAGAAACTGCGGGGAGGACTAAAATGCAAACATGAAATATTCACAAGAAGAGCACTCTAGGGGATAGTGTATGGATACCAGGAGCTGACAAGAACCAAAATGCAATGTTTCTACCCCTTAGGGCCTTTATCAAGCTTCAGGCTATAAAATATACAAATCACCTTGCCAGTATCAGCTGAAAGGCAAATTTCTCTGTTGAGACAGGAAGGGAGTAGGAGTAGGACTCACCTTTTTGGGCTTGCCTTGACGTGGCAGGTGAGTTTATATACAAATGGCCATTGGAATAAAATTAAAGAGCCTCCATTTTGTTTAAATGTACATAGGAATTTAGGCCAGAGCGCAGGTAACCTCTTTGTTTTTACTATGTATTTTGAGTTGTTGGATACTAAGCTAGTGCTGCTGTAAGCGCGGTGCTTTATCTTTGAATTTAAAATTAACGTTTATTACAGATTTGCCTTTCCACATTATACCCACGATTCAAGCACTGTGGTGATGTTTTATACCACCATATTTCTTGTGTGAATTGCTGGAAACCACTCCTCCTCCATGAATAAAAAATAAATAAAATATGCCATTGAATAAACTCTGGTAAGGTAGTGAAATGCGTTGACGGTATTTGTAATTTAACAATAGCAATAAATTACCACCACGCCTCAAGCTCCTTTCCAGCAGATCTTTCAAGTCCCACAGCTGAATACCAGACCAACTAATTGGACATTCTGTGAAACAGGAGCATTCAACAACTAAGCTAATGAACAGAATCTGTTGACTTTTACTTAACCCCTTAAGGACTGAGCCAAATGTACACGTTGTGAACGAAACAAAATGTAAACAAAACCAGGCATTTGCGCTACATGTCTGTCCAACCATAATTCACCTCTTTCATGTTCAATGCACCCACCCTTATTATATATCATTTTATTCAGGGCAAACAGGGCTTTCATTTAATATCAAATATTTAGCTATGAAACATAATTTAATATGAAAAAAATGGGAGAAAATAAGATTTGTTTTGATTTTTTTAGTTCTACATTACATTTTAACTGTCAATGTCATAATACTGTTTGCTTTTACTGCAATACAATACACATATTTGTATTGAGCAAAGTCTCACATTTAAAACAGTACCCCCTATGTACAGGTTTTATGGCGTTTTGGGAAGTTACAGGGTCAAATATAGCACATTACATTTGAAATTGAAATTAGCCAGATTGGTTACGTTGCCTTTGGGACTTTATAGTAGCCCAGAAATGAAATTTACACCCATAATGGCATACCATTTGCAATAGTTGACAACCCAAGGTATTGCAAATGGGGTATGTCCAGTCTTTTTTAGTAGCCATTTGGTCACAAACACTGGCCAAAGTTAGCGTTAGTATTTGTTTGTGTGTGAAAAATGCAAAAAACGCCAATCTTGGCCAGTGTTTGTGACTAAGTGGCTACTAAAAAAGACTGGACATACCCCGTTTGCAATACCTTGGGTTGTCTACTATTGCAAATGGTATGCCATCATAGGGGTAATTTTCATTCATGGGCTACCATAGGGTCTTAAAGGCAACGTAACCAATCTGGCGAATTTTAATGTGAAAAAAATTAAACACAAGCCTTATATTTGATGCTGTAACTTTTAAAAACACCATAAAACCTGTACATGAGGGGTAAAACAGTAAAAAGTATCGCAGCAATAATATCGTCCGTGTAAGTGCTGTTTGTGCGTGAAAAATGCAAAAAACATCACTTTTACTGGCGATATCATCGTTGTAATACATTTTACTGTTTTGAAACACTAATATTTGGTTCAGCGAAGTCTCCCAAGTAGAACAGTACCCCCCATGTACAGGTTTTATGGTGTTTTGGAAAGTTATAGGGTTAAATATAGTGCTAGCAAATTAAATTCCCTTTACTTTTGGCATGGGTTGTCAGGCAGGTCCCGCTAATTGTAATTAATTAAGATACCTAATTATGTAAAAATATTACATAAATATATATGTAGAATTAATATATGTATATATATACGTATGTGTATACATATAATTTTCTTTAAATATTTTTATTTATATATAGATATATATATATAGTGATATATACGTATATATTTGTGTATATAGATATATATTATTTTGTTCTACGTGTATTTTGATATAAATATATATATTAATATCACAATACAGTTAGAACAAAATAACACCTATATATTTTTTAATTATTTTTTAAATTTTATATTTTAACGTATTTACATATTTAATTTTTTTATAATATATATATATATATATATATATATATATATATATATATATATATATATATATATATATATATATATATTTTTATAGTAAAATACACCTAGACAGTATATGTGTGTGTATGTGTATATATATATTTTTTTTACACTTTTTAAATTTCATTTATTTTATTTCCAGCCAGCAGGGGGACTACCTGTAATTACAGGCAGACCCCCTGCTGGCAATACAGCAGCCAGCTATGCCAGCCATGTGATTGTGAGGTCCTCGCAAGGACCTCACTCTCACATGGCCGGGGGGGCTGCAGGAGAGAAGATGTGCCACGGGGGGGGGGCTCCCTGGGAGTCCCCCCAACCGCGATCGCCGGAGTGGGACCGCCGGCGACTGGGTAAGTAAAGAAAGACCGGAGGGCGTACTATTACGCCCGGCGGCGTTTAGAGCCACCTAAAATAGGGCATAATAGTACGCCCTCCTGGTCTTAAAGGGTTAAAATCTAAAATCTATTTTTTTTTGTAATGTAAGAGGCTAATTCATAGTTCTATATAAAGTTGTACTTTGATAGAAGGAATTACTTCATGTGCATCTTGCATTTGTTCTCCCCATCCCTCTTTTTTTTTACATGTTTATCGTATGAAGGAAAATGAAAACAGCAAAACATATGTGAGGAATGCTGAACATGATGGACGCAAGTATTTTTTCAGCTATGTAACTATGTAAAAGAAGTAATCTACAACATTAATTTTACATTTTCTGTATATGAAGGAGTTAACAGAATTTTAACATTAAACTATGTCACTTAAAGGACCACTATAGTGCCAGGAAAACACTCATTTTCCTGGTACTATAGTGCCCTGAGGGTGCCCCCACCCTCAGGGTCTCACTCCCGCCGGGCTGGATGGCGAGGAAAGGGTTAAATCTTACCTTTTTTTCCAGCGCCGGGCGGGGAACTCTCCTCCTCCACTCCCCCTCGTCTCCTCCTCTTCGGCTGAATGCGCAGCAGGAGCTGCGCGTGCATTCAGCCTGTCTCATAGGAAAGCATTCATAATGCTTTCCTGAAGTGGTCTGGGTGCCTAGAGTGGTCCTTTAACTATCCAAAGGGCTACATCTGTATAGATAACATTGTAGATTATTTGTTTTTTTAAGCAAGATGTTTTAGTGTGTTTAAATATTAAGAGAATAATTTTTTGGTGCAATCCCCTTCTTTTTTTTATCACTTAAACTATTAGTGTTATAGGTTTTTTTGGATATATTTTTAAACCTAAGAAGGGAGGATTTTGTTGCCTTCAGATTTTTTGAACAATTTGACAATTTGCAACTTCAAAGACATAGTTCAGTTTATCAAGGCTCTTGGCCAAGATAACTCTGGCATAATGGACATGTAGAGAGCTGGCTTATTGTAATTCATATCATAATAACGAGAGATTTCTCTGAAAGATTGAGTATGTAGATTTTAATAAAATCATGCATTATTCATATAATGGTAACAGTAAAAATAGCATAATGGATAAAACACTTTAGCTAGAATTAGGCTGTTTTAAATAAAAAAATGTCCTTGTATTATTAGGAAATAGAAAAATTATAAATGGATTTAGGTCTGAACTAAACTGTTTGCTTATTTGTTAATTTAAACAATGAGACCAATTTGTGATAAATTCTTAATAGTCTAAAAAAGAATACTCATACTCTCCCATAAAATGGGATTTTTATTTTTTTTTACAATTTATTAGTTCAGATTTTGTTAGTAATCAGCACTTTTATAAAACTTTGCAACAACACCTCCTCAGCAAGTAATCAGACAGCTATGAAGGCTTCCTCTTCCGTTAACTCCCCAGGGTGTTTGCCTTCCCCTGTTCTCAATTACCTGTAATACAGCTCTCTGAGAAGTTCTAGATTGCCATGATTGTGTTCACATGAACTAATGGCTCCAGAGCAGAGGTTTCTCAATCTGCCAATGAAGAATTTCTTGTTAAATTTTTATTTTTGAACTCATTTGAGAGTAAATATCTAGTACAAATAGTTTGAGAATATTTACTAAAGTCTAACAATTTGAACTTCAAAATCTGGACTTTGTTTACACTCTGGAGCAATGTCTGGATTTTGCCCTGAATGTGTCTAAATGTGGTCTGTACATGCCCTGCCCCCCACCTGCTGACAGTGGGAGGGCCTATTAAATATAATAACTGGTGGGGGGCATCCTCATGTCTTCTCCACTCCTGGACGGCACGTAAAAACTATTAGAATATTCGGGGGGGGGGCTAGTGTCATTTCCGGCCATAATACATTGGAAGCAGGTGGGGGCTCTAATAATAATATATAAGGTAGAGCACCTAATGTCCTCTCCAGCCCCCACTCTTTGTCCTGGCATTATTTCATGGTGGGTAGGGGCTCTAATTAATTATGCAAAGGGGGAGCATGCTTGCTTTCCAATAGAGGCTGGAGGGGAAGGTGTTAACAGTGGGTAGTGAAGTTAGCTGATGGACTGAAGGGACAGGGGTTAACAGTTGTTAGGGAGGTAGATAGATAGATGTGGAGAAATGCATTATGGAAAGTATTACTTTGTATTTTATTTGAATAAAGTTTTTTTTGGTCACTATACTTACTGTACTGTGCCAATTACCTTTTGTTTTAAATAATTTTATTTTTAAAAATATACTTATTCCTGGCTACCTCATTTCCTGTCTACACCAAAGAAATCCCAGGTGGGGATCATACCATCGGCGCTTTATCCATAGAGCAGTTTACCTGCTCAACCTTTTTACTATTTTTACTATTTTACCAATTTTATTTTTATAGTGAGCATCACCATCTTCTACAGACACTCACCAACACATTTAAATGTTACAGTTAATGAAATATCTCAGTGTTGCTCTTTATTTATTTTCAAAGTAATGCATAGCATCTTCTCTTAATGTGTATAGTTTAATTTTCATTTCAAAACAAAATTCTTCTCATTAAGAATGACTTACCTGCACCTTTCCCTCTTTCTTCAGCTCTAGTATTCATTGTGCGTATAAACTAGTTTCTTTGCAAGGTGCAACCTAGAGCTAAAGTAATGGGCTTGGTAAGTAGCATAATTCTGTCCCTCTGGATCTCTGCAGAGACTGTAAATAGCAGTAACTTTAATTCAACACAGTACAACTGTCACGATAGTAACCCCTTCTTACAGAGTGTAACCCAGAGAAGAACGTATACCGGACCTTAGAGTGGCCGGACTAACGTTTAAAGTAATCAAATGGATAGCCAGAGATCAAGGGAGTACAGAAGACGGATAAACGATATAACCTAGCCAAAGTACGGGAAACCAGAGAGCAGAATAGTCAAAAGGGAAAGCCAAAAGTCAATAAACAGGAAATCAACACATAAGAAGATTATCAGCACTAGAGGAACCAACAAGAACCACACTATTACAACTTACAACTGACAGGGACGCCCTTTTATAGTGTGGGGTATTTTGCTTTAAAACCACGCCCCCAAAAGGTCCGGGGGCATGGTCGCGTGTGAATTACGTCGGCATTTACATGCCGGCTATGGCGCGCTTGCGCCGTATTATAAAGAGACGAGCGGTGTGAGCGGCCGGGGAGTGCCGCTCATCGGAAGAGGATGCCGTGCGGCGCGGGTCCGAGGAGGAAAGGAAAGGTATCGTTACAACAACAACTGACTTGTCAGACTTGATAGCTGCATTCTAGCAAGGAGCATTTTCTGAACACAATGACTATATATTTTTGTCTTATCTGTATGTGACAAAATGTTTTTTTTTCTTTGTAGGCTAATATTTAATTCTGTGTGGCAGACTGCCGGTATATCGCCACCACAGACTCCCTTTCCCAGTGTAAAGTATCTCTTCCAAGTAGTAAAAGTGAATATAGCTGGTATAGCTTTCCCCCATACATTAGTCGAGACTGGACTGGCCATCGGGCACACCGGTATTTGCCCGGTGGGCCGCGCCATCCGGGCCAACACTAATGTGTAATTTAAAAATGATTTTTGGCCATCTTTCACTTTTGAAAGACGGCCATTTCGTTATTCGTATCAAGGAAGAGAGCCTTAATCATGCATGATTAACTCTGAGGAGCCGAAACGTCGCACTTATTCTGGTGAGGTGGTGAACCCACAAATAAATTTACCTTCTATATCCTGGAGTGCTGTCTGTGTTTTCTCTTCTTTGATACTACATTGGTGGATTCAGCGGTGTCCATCCTACACACAAAGCGCCTCCTTGGTGGAAGGCTGGAGCATATGTGCAGAACCTGAGTGCAGGGTATACTGTTTTTGCTGGACTGATTTCGTTATTCGTAGTTTTGAGGGGCCGGCATTACTTACCTCATCATGCTCCACCTACAGGGTGGGCTGAGCGGCACAATCACGCAAGAAGCCACGTGATCTCGAGGCTCTCTGTCTGACACCGCGGTTTGCAGTGCTACGCATCAGGGAAGTAGGCAGTCTCAGAAGAGGCAAGAGGGAGGGAGAGCCAAGACCTGAGCAACCTCAGCAAAGGAAGGTGGAGGAAGCAAATTCACTAGGGGGTCACTTCAAAGTTCCAAGGGGGGCACTTCAAACTCCTATGGGGGCCACTTCAAAGGTCCAAGGGCGCCACTTCAAAAGTCCAAAGGGACCACATCAAAGGCCCAGGGGTGGGGGCACAGGCTCAGGTGCAAAAATAAAGGCCTAAGAGGCTACAGTCCAGGTCCAAGGGGGCCAAAGTCAAAGCCCAAGGGGCCACAGCCAAAGGGGCCACAGGCCACAGCCCAGGCCCAAGGAGGCCACAGTCCAGGTCCAAGGGGGCCACAGCCAAGGCCTAAGGATGCCACAGCCAAAGGGGCCACAGCCCAAGCCCAAGGCGGCCACAGCCCAGGTACAAGGGGGCCACAGCCAAGGCCTAAGGAGACCAGAGCCCAGGCCCAAGGGAGCCACAGCCCAGGCCCAAGGAGGCCACAGTCCACGTGCAAGGGGGGCACATCCATGGCCTAAGGAGGCCACAGCCCAGGCCCAAGGTGGCCACAGCCCAGGCCCAGGAGGCCACAGCAAAGGTCCAAGGGGCCAACAGCTAAGACCCAAGGAGGCCACAGCAAAGGTCCAAGGGATCCACAGCCCAGAACCAGAGGGGCCACAGCTCAGGCCCAAAGGTGGAAGAGTCCAGGCCCAAAGGACTACAGCCAAGCCGAGAGACGGAGGGCCAGACATGAGCAGTGCTGCTGGCCAGTGGTCTGCCTTAATCCATCAGCCACACTGGTCTGTTCAACTTGCCACCAGCAACTCAGCTGCAAAGGAAGGGAGGCTGTCACGTGGACCCCAAGACTTAACCTGTCTTACACAGCACTGTGCTTAACCAGGAAGTAAGCAAAAAAGAATTGCAAAGTTTATGATGTTCCATTTTGCCCTCTCTATGCCATCTTTACTGTGTGGCTTAACAGGGGAGTTAAAAAAAAAAAAAGATAGAGAAACAAATGGGAATTGAGGGCACACCTGGACCATGCATTTCTCAGTAGCAGTGCTAAAACCAAAAAACCAAAATCTATATGCATTGATCATAGGTGTGCTACCAATTCCCCTTTTTAATATATATTTAGAATCGAAATCAGATTTCTTTTGGGTTGAGCACCCGCCACTCCACTATAGGTGCCCCTTTGGAAGTGACAACAAAAAAGCATATATTTGCAGCTAGCATGTTTGTCATTAGTGTGGGACCCACTGATATTAGGCTAACCTGATGTAGTTGTGGGCTCAACACAATATGGTCATACAATAAACACCAAAGAAAAGAGTTACTTGCACACTATCCTAAATATCCTATGCGCATTTAAAGAACTGGAGGTTATTCAGTGTATTCTTTTTTGTTTTTTATTATATGTACTGGGGCTAATATATATATATATAGTTATTTATGCTGCCCAAGAGTAGTGGGAGTTTGGACTTAATTTTGTATGATATGGCCATATGGTGTAACTGAATTCCCATATTTGTTTGCTAAGATAGGTGATTTTAAGTAGCCCACAGGTATATATCTGATACGGAATGCTTGTGTTTATTTTTTTATTTTTTCTATTTAAAGGAACACAATAGCATGTTCCTATACATGCATTCCTGATGCTATAGTGTCTCCCTTACCTATGTAGGTGTCTTCCCCCTGCTAGGGTTAAAACATTAAGTATTACTTGCTTTTACATCCCATCTCATCGTCAGTCTCAATGATCTCAGCCAATCCAATGCTTCCATATAGAGATATGTTGGGAGGGTAGTATGCTTGTTTGGAAAAATGCAGCACTGCGGCAATCAAATACCCTCTAGGAGAGTAATTTGAGCTATAACTAAGCTTAACTTGTTTATAGCTGCGGCTGTAGCTGTGAGAAAGACAGCCACTAGGAGAGAAAATATTGCTTTTCCTGCAAAATGCAATGTTTTCAGATGCAGGTTGAAAAATACAGGGGCATGGCACCCAGACCTCATTGAGATGCTCTGGATGCATTGCCCCGTATTGTCTTATTTCTGCAAGGTAATGTCAATGTGTATCTGATGTATTGCTTTTTCTAGCTGTGTAAACTTATAAAAAAAATGTGGAAACCCCTCCAAAAACCATAGTCTATTTGTAGATACAGCAATAGTGATGTCCCGAACGGTTCGCGCGGACTCATCATTGAGTAAACTTTGACCCTGTACCTCACAGTCAGCAGACACATTCCAGCCAATCAGCAGCAGACCCTCCCTCCCAGACCCTCCCACCTCCTGGACAGCTCACTAAGAATGCAGCTTCTTAATGAGCTGTCCAGGAGGTGGGAGGGTCTGGGAGGGAGGGTCTGCTGCTGATTGGCTGGAATGTGTCTGCTGACTGTGAGGTACAGGGTCAAAGTTTACTCAATGATGAGTCCGCGGCAAACCGTTCGCGAACCGTTCGGCGAACCGTTCGGGACATCACTATACAGTAATGTTTACATTAAAATGTTAAACATGCCTTTTAGTGGCTATCATATTTACAGCCACTAGAGGCGCTTTTGCTGTGAGAACAGAATCTGACTAAAGTGGGAATTGTTGTGAATTTAACCCCTTAGTGACCAAACCACTTTTCAATTTTCTTACCGTTTGGGACCAGGGCTGTTTTTACATTTCTGCGATGTTTGTGTTTAGCTGTAATTTTCCTCTAACTCATATACTGTACCCACACAAATTATATACCGTTTTTCTCGACATTAAATGGTTGCTCTAAAGATACCATTATTTTCATCATATCATATAATGTGCCATAAAAACAATTATAAAATATGATAAAAAAATGTAAAAAACCCCCCACTTTTTCTAACTTTGACCCCCAAAACCTGTTACGCATCTACAATCGCCAAAACAGATGATAAATAGTTTCTAAATTTTGTCCTGAGTTTAGAAATACCCAGTGTGAACATGTTCTTAGCTTTTTTGCAAGTTAAAGGGCAATAAGTACAAGTAGCACTTTGCAATTTCCAAACCATTTTTTTTAAATTAACGCAAGTTACATTGTAACACTGATATCTGTCAATTCCTGAATAACCCTTCACATGTATATATTTTTTTAAAAGAAGACAACCTAAGGTATTAAACGTGGGGTATTTTGACTCTTTCCATGCTTTTTTCATGCAACCATTTTACCACAAATCTATGCCAAATTTAAAAGAAAGAAAATAATTGGTGATTTTGAGACACATAGAAATTTAAGAATACATGTACTGAGAACTCTAAGGGCTACTGCCAAAGAACACCCAACATGTGTTCAGCAACATCTCCTGAGTACAGCGATACCACACATGTATAGGTGTGTCAGGTTCTCTGGGGGGTTAAAGACCTTATTTGGAGGGTGCGCATTCCAGTTTGCCAACTTGAAAAGTTCACAGCTGGTTATTATGCACCCATGTCCTATTTGGGACATTTTTTGAAGCTGGCCATATATTTTTGAAACGTAGACACCCTAGGGTATTTTAAATGGTTGGTATTTTAACACTTTCCATGTACTAATTCTACCACCAGTTTTTTTTTTGTTATTTTTCTCTCACATTGTACTTTAGGCATGGATTCTCAGTACCTGTTATGTGTTACTGACAAAGAACACCACAATATGTGTCCAGCAACATCTCCCAAGTACAACAGTGCCCCTAATGTACAGGTTCTATGGGTTTTTGCAAACGTACAGGGGTCAAATGTAGGGCTTTCCCCTTTTCCATGTTTGCACATTGAAATTTGCCAGATTGGTTTGCTGGGCCTGTGTAGCCTTTGAGACCATATAAAAGCCCAGGAATGAAAATTAACGCATCATGGCATACCATTTGTAAAAGTAGACAACCCACGGTATTCAAAATGGGATATGTCTAGTCTTTTTTAGTAGCCACTTAGTCACAAACCCTTGCCAAAATTAGCATTTCTATTAGTTTTCTTGCATTGTTTATACATAAACTGCCATTTCATTGATGATATTATCAGTATAATAATTTTTACTGCTCTAAAACACTCATATATGTGTAGAGTAATGTCTCACAAGAACAATAGTACCCCTCAAGTACAGGTTTTATTGGAAAGTTACAGGGTCAAACATAAGATTTGCCAATTTCTGTTTTTGCAAATTGCTATTTGCCAGATTGGCTATGTTGCCTTTGAGACGGTATGGCAGGCCAGAAAAAAGAATTAACACCACCATGACATACCATTTGAAAAGGTAGACAACCCAGGGTATTCAAAATGGGATATGTCCAGTATTTTGTAGTAGCCACTTAGCCACAAATGCTCGCCAAAGTTAGCATTCATATTTGTTTTTTGCATTTTTTTACACAAAAACTGCACTTTTACTGGTGATTTCATTTTCGTGATAGGTTTTACTGTTTTAAACACTCATATTTGTTTGCAGTGAAGTCTCCCGAGTATAACAATACCCCCCATTTACAGGTTTTATGGTGTTTTGGAAAGTTACAGGGTCAATATAGGGTTTGCCCAATTCAGTTTGCCATATTGGTTTGCTGGATCTATGTTGCCTTTTGAGACCATATGGTAGCCCAGGAATGTGATTTAACCCCATCATGGCATACCATTTTCAAATGTAGACACCCCAGGTTATTCAAAATGGGGTATTTTCAGTCTTTTGTAGTAGCCACTTAGTCATAAACGCTGGCCAAAGTTAGCGTTTTTATTAGTTTTTTGCATTTTTTTAAAAACAAAAACTGCACTTTTACTGGTGATATCAAAGTCGTGATAAGTTTTACTTTTTAAAACACTCATATTTGTGTTCAGGGAAGTCTCCCGAGTATAACACCACCACCTATGTAAAGGTTTTGCAGTGTTTTGGAAAGTTACTTGGTTAAATATAGGGCTTCCCAATTAAATTATTTGGACTGCCTGTCTGGGTTGTCAGGCAGGTCCCTCAAATTATAATTAATTAAACAATTATGTAATTAATAGTTAAATATATATGTAGAATGTGTGTGTATATATATATATAAAGAAGTTGGTGATCCCAAGCTGCAGTAGCAACAGGAGCACTTTGGAGAAAGTTCTACAATGAACTATGTTACAAAATAATAATTTTAAATAACTTTATTGAGGGTATCTACTAAAAAGTATGATCCCAGATAAAAGAGACTATAGTAAATAAAGCTTACTACACCATAACCACTAAAAACGTATATAATTGTATGGGGAGTGGTGGACTCAAACACCAAACATAGAGAAAAAAAGACCAGGGACAACATCTGTAAATAATTTTTTCACCCCTGGATTTTTTGAACCTCTCCAAGTTGTAAAGGGGCGTCCTTTTGGGGCTTGTTCTTCATGATTTAGATTACCAGGACAGCTCAATTAGACATATATATATACATGTTCAAAAGAGCAATTTATACCGGTATAATTGTCATTTTTCCATCACATTTACCCCCTAGGAGTCCCTATATCATTTGTTGCAGCGTCTGGGACTAGATCAATGTCCTAGATGCATATTCTGCCATGGGGGGTTCCTACTCGTATGGGCAGAAGCGTTAGCCTGTCACTGTAAACTAATCTATACACGTTCGGCAGATTATTGGAGGCTGGGTCTCCTTGCCGACATGCTGGATGTCAAGCATGATACGGCTGGAGACACGTACCCCCGTCCACACCCACGGGGCGTGACAAACGCTGATTGACAGCTCGATGCCGTCGGCATCATTTGGGCGCGCACGGACAAAACACGCCCCACGACCTGATTGGCTGAGAGGTGAATAGGAGGGATATTTAAACGGAGCTAGGAACATTATCAAACTTACCTTTGACAAAGGCGCTTTGGGAGCGCCGAAACGTGCGTTAGGTCCTTTTTCTTTTTTGTTTTACCTTCCATCACCTAGATGTGACCACAGGGTGGGGGATATGGACTCTCTACCATTTAGATTCGGTCATATTAGCTGTTAGTAGCCGTAGACGATTATCAGCAGATTGTGAGAGTAGAATCTTTTTTCTTTCACAGGAACAGATGGGATTGCCTTATACCAGCAGTGGCAGCAGTCAGCATTCTTATATTTAAATTGCAAACTTGGCTTTTCTGTAGGCAATAGCTGTGTGCATGACTACCAGTCACTTGTTTCTAGGCAGATGAGATACTATGCTTCTGTTTCCATTTTGGGAGTTATTATCTCTTTGATACTGTTTCAGTATCTTACCCTCTAGCTGGCTACTTGATAGATACAGACATATTCTGTATTTTCATCTATTTGACCACAAGTTGAGAACATAACAGCATTCCCTAATTTGGATTTGATAATTAAGATCACCCATATCTGTCTTTATTTAGGACAGGTTATCAATCTAGGCTGCTCTGTCAAGTCATTGAGGCTACAGATTTCTATCTTTACAGCTCCCCTTTTTTTTTTTTTTTTGGTGTTTGAGTCCACCACTCCCCATACAATTATATACGTTTTTAGTGGTTATGGTGTAGTAAGTTTTATTTACTATAGTCTCTTTTATCTGGGATCATACTTTTTAGTAGATACCCTCAATAAAGTTATTTAAAATTATTATTTTGTAACATAGTTCATTGTAGAACTTTCTCCAAAGTGCTCCTGTTGCTACTTCAGCTTGGGATCACCAACTTCTTTATTATACTGTATATATACAAGGGTTACCCCCTAGAAAGTTCGACTCACACACTCCAGTTGGGTTTTTCGGCACCTAGGTGCCTTCCCTTCTTTCTACTTTTTTATATATATATATATATATACATAAATATAGATAAAATGTTTTTTAAAAATGTACATTATATTATATAATATATGAATTATATAATATATACATACAATACGTGTGTGTGTATGTATGTATATATATAAGAGCAAAAAAACTGGTTGCAAGAGTATTCTGAGAACAGACAGCAACTGAAATAGCCTGCCCCTACCCGTCGATTTCAACGGTATTTAAATACTGACGGGGAACCAAGGAACATCCAGCTTACCTATCCAGTCGAAGAAGCCACGCTACAAGTGGCGAAACTCGTCCCGGTTTTTGGACATTGTTGCCTTTTTAATTTGATTTTATAGATTGTTTAATACATTTATTTTATTTTATTTCTGGATTTTGGTTCCCGAATTCATCTTTTACAGATGGGAGTGCTGTCCCTAATCTGCACAACGCATACAAATTGAGTCATTTCCCTTGACTCTAGGCTTGTAAGTACCCATTTGGGATTCTCTAGTTTACACCTTAACTATCATCAGCAATACTGCGCAATCTGTTGTGCATTTATTCCCCCTTCAGGACAAGATCCATATCGGGAATAGGGGTGGGTCGCCTATACAGACCCAGAAACGATTCAAACCAGAGCTGGGCCCATAGCTCTTCATTTGTGAG